TCCATGTCTGAAAAGTAAAACATCTCTAAAATTCATTAAAACTTTCAAAGGCCACTGGTCTTTTTCTTTTTAAACGACAGCAACACCTCGAAATGCTTCACAATCTTCCTTTCTGGTACATATTTTCTTTATTCTTCTTAAAATGATTGCATCACAGAACATGCCACAGCCTGCGCCCAATGCCTTAGCCTTGTCTTCACTAGCTCTGGATCTTCCCCTGCTAAACACAAATCGCCAAATGGCACCACATTTATGTATGTATGTATAGTTAGTTTATGTGTGTGTTTTGGCATGATATAATGATGAAATTAGTACCTAATGTTTGTATAAATTGTTGATTTACCTTTTATTCTTTTTTAGAGCATTTTAGCTCCTAACATTTTAATTTTTAGTTAAAATAATCTCTGATAAATAAAAACAGTTAGATAACCAATGGTCAACACATGTAATTGATGTGACATGTACCATGTCGTCAAAGTGATGTCGTGAAATCTATCACGTCGCCCAAGGTGATTATGTGTCATGTACCATGTTAGCTAAAGTGATTACATGACATGTGTCACATCATCAACGTGATGATGTGACAAATGGCACACCATTATTTAAATACATGTGATAATATCATGTCACCAACATGTGTTGATCATTAGTCAACTAACGGTTCTAATCCAATATGGGCTATTTTGATCAAAATTGAAAAGTTTAGGGTTAAAAACTCAAAAAAAGAAAAGGAATAAGGGGCAACTTGACCATTTGTGCAAATGTTAGGGGCTAATTTTGTGATTATGCATCTTTGGCATTGAAACTTACCTGCGATACAAATCTTCCAATCTGACTCACTTGTAGGACTTCCTAAAGAAGATGACCGATCACTGATCGATAATGTCGACGATGAGCATTGGCTTTGAGGGGTCGAGACCGGACTCGGAGAAAGCTGGCGGTTTACGGCGAAATAAAGGTCTAATGCAGGCAATGTGCTTGTTAGTTTTTGGCCTTCTTCTTCGTTGAATCCGAATCCGAGCTCTATGCACCCTTTAAGTTCATGCAGGTCTTCATCAGTCAATTCATTCCCACTAATCCCAATCTTTCCTCTCCCTTGACGAAGAATCTGGCGACGCCTTCTTTCCCAAGCCATGTCCCGGTACGTCTCGACCATCGATAACTGCTTCGATAAATATCTCTTGTTGTTCTTCATCAATGGCAACGGCACCAAGGACATGCGTTCCAAATCTTCCATTTCCGAGTCGCACAATGACGTCGACAATGAAGACGACGAAGGTGCGATGGCCTCTCTTCTTGGCTCTCTGTCCCTCACCATTTCCTTATTCGTAATCAACAGAACGCGAGCTAATGCTGCCGGCGGCTGAGCAGCGGTAAACAAAGAAGTGAAGTGGTGAGGGAGGAGGACTATGATGGAAATAAGCTATATATTGCAAGTTCTATGTATCTGTTTCTTTTAAAATTTTCAATACAAGATATATGAAACAAGACAAGCCCTACCAGTTTAACCCCAGAGAAGATTTAATAAGTCTTTAATGGAGAAAGAAAAGGAATGGAATTCATTAAGGAAGATTCTGGTTGTTATTCAACCATCCCTTTGTAACTGTTAGTTGCAAGTTGCATTGTATTTTGGTACAAGTTTTTGTCTGTTAATATCAAGAACAGTATTAAGAAAACTTACTAACTTAATACATTCTGGTAATCTGTAAGCAAAACAAGGAGTTGTTTTTGTCTGTTGAAGAGTTGGAAACAACTCTGAGAGTTCTAGTTTTTGTGAGAATTGAGAAAGTAACAGTCTCAACATGAACAATGCTAAATTTAGCAAATTTTCTCTCTCAGTTTCCAACAACCTTTTTTTTTTCTCAACATTATCCTCTTTGTTGATCTTTCTGGTTTGATCCCCTTAATAAAGGGAAGTTGGTGCAAACCATGGAAGAAAGAGGATGATTATTTAGACTAATCTCATAAACTTCAAAACCCAAACAAAGAATTGTTTTTGTTTTATTGCTTTGTTTTTCCTGTACGCCATTGAATATGCTCCTTAGTGTTTTGTTTCCATTTTCTAACACCATGAAAAACAGACAACGTTTATTGCTTTCTATTGTCTGGTTTTCTCTCAATCTCCATGTCTTTGTTCTTGTTTCGAGCAAGCCTTTGTCTGTTGCCTGTGGTTCCAATGGTGGTAAAGATGAAGATGGAAGGAACTGGGAACCAGATGCGAAGTTCCTTAAAACATCCGGTAGTTCAACTCAGCTTCAAGCTGCGGATCAAGACCCTTCACTTCTTTCGGTAATCCCATACATGAATGCTCGGATCTTCACGTCGCCAGCTACGTATCGGTTTCCGATAAGGCCGAAGGAACGGTACCTGGTCAGGTTTCATTTTTATCCTTCAGCTTACCCCAACTTCAACATCAGCAATTCATTTTTCTCGGTGACTGCTGGGGGAGTCACTCTGATGAACAATTTCAGTGCTGAAATCACATGTAAAGCCCTCACGCAGGCTTATCTCGTACGAGAGTATTTGTTGGCACATTCGGATTCCGAGTTTTTAAACATCACCTTCACACCTAGTACTAAGTACACCAAATCCTTCGCTTTTGTAAACGGGATCGAATTGATCGCCATGCCGAATCTATTCGGCGAGACAACTGTGGTGGGATATGATTCATCAGACCTCAATGTTTCGTCCGAGAATTTTCAGACGATGTTCCGGTTGAATGTTGGTGGACAGTTTATTCCTCCTAGCAACGATTCCGGAGGCCTTTTGAGGAGTTGGTATAATGATGATCCTTACATTTTTGGTTCTGCAAATGGTATCGATACTCAGGCAAACAAACATGTTCGGGTCAATTACAAAAACTTGTCTCGTTCTTCGGCTCCCGAAGATGTTTATAGGACAGCTAGAGAAATGGGACTAGATTATGATTTGAACATGAAGTTCAACCTGACATGGTTGTTTCAGGTTGATGCCAATTTCACATACCTTGTGAGATTACATTTTTGTGATTTCAAATATGACATGGTGAACCAGAGAGTTTTCAATGTTTACATCAACAATCAATCTGCACAAGCTGATCCGACAGATGTAATTGCAATGACAGGAGGAAAAGGTGTTCCAACTTGCAAAGATTATGCAATCAGTGTTAATGATGGTCCAAATGATGAAATGATTCGGATACAAATGAGTCCGGCCACCAAATCGAAACCGCAGTACTACGATTCTCTGCTCAATGGAGTTGAAATATTTAAGTTGAATGATGTGAACAAGAATTTGGCTGGCAGCAATCCGCAACCATCTTCCATGCTTCTTCAATCGGGGAATGAGCCCAAGAAGTCTTTCGAATCCAAGTCCAGCCATAGTTTTGTTATTGCAGGGGCTGCAGGAGGTGCTGCAGCAGCTTTTGTTGTAGTTGCACTGGCGTTTCTCGCCTACAGAAAGAGGAAACGATCCGGGTTTGACTCGCATACGTCGAGCTGGCTTCCGCTCGGGAACTCCAATACAACCGGAAGCAAAAGCAAGAGCAGTATTAACCAAGCTTCGGCGTTGGCTCAAGGCCTTTCTCGCCGTTTCTCTATATCAGAAATCAGACAAGCCACAAAGAATTTCGATGACTCTTATGTCATAGGAGTCCGAGGCTTCGGTAAGGTGTACAAAGGAGTTATCGACAGAGGCACCAAAGTGGCTGTCAAGCGATCCAATCCGTCATCCGAACAAGGGATTAACGAGTTCGAAACCGAAGTCGAGATGCTCTCGAAGTTGAGACACAAGCATTTGGTCTCATTGATTGGTTTCTGTGAGGATGGTGGTGAAATGTGCTTGGTTTATGACTACATGGCTCTTGGGACATTTAGGGAACACCTTTACAACAACAAGAAACCTTTTCTTTCTTGGAAACAAAGATTGAAAATCTGCATTGGAGCAGCCAGGGGACTTCACTATCTTCACACAGGAGCAAAGTACACCATCATTCACAGAGATGTCAAAACAACAAACATTCTCTTGGATGAAAAATGGGCTGCTAAAGTTTCGGATTTCGGGCTGTCAAAAACCGGTTCCGAAATGAATCAAGGCCATGTAAGTACAGTGGTGAAGGGTAGCTTCGGTTACCTGGACCCCGAATACTTCCGAAGACAACAACTTACCGAAAAATCCGACGTGTACTCCTTTGGTGTCGTCCTATTCGAGGCTTTATGCGCTCGACCGGTCCTGAATCCCAGCCTTCCAAAGGAACAAGTTAGTCTTGCAGATTGGGCACTCCTTTGTCACAAGAACGGAACACTAGAAGAGATCATCGACCCTCATTTGAAAGGGAAAATAGATACAGAATGTCTACAGAAGTTTACATACACAGCAGTGAAATGCTTATCTGATCAAGGAATCGAGCGGCCTAACATGGGAGACGTCCTGTGGAACCTCGAGTTTGCTCTTCAGCTGCAAGAAAACTCGGATACCGCCGGCAGTTCGACCGACGGAGACACTCCCGCATCGAGAGATTCCGATGTAACAAGCCAAAGACAAGGAAACAGAAGCCAAGGCAGTGACATTGAATTGAATGAAGAGCTTAACAATCAGGATGACATATTCTCTCAACTTGTCCATCCACAAGGCAGATAAAGGAAACAGAAGGATTAAAAAAAGGCTGCCATGGATGGAACTGAAGCATTATAGGAAGCACAAAGCAGTGTTGGTATTGTACAATTTCTAAGCTATAGTGATACTTTGGTTAAAAGTTGTGCTTTACTGTAAGAATCTCACCTAATATTTTGACCTAAACTATCTTAAATTTAATCATTGATTCCTTGTAATATGCAACATGTATATTGAATGTGTTGAGCAATTCTATAGTTTTTATAATTTAATTGAACTGCCCATTTATCTAACTATTGTGTTTTTATTTAAAGCAAAATTTACAACGAAGCACCAGTGGTCTAGTGGTTGACTAGTACCCTGCCACGATACAGACCCAGGTTCGATTCCCTGCTGGTGCATTTCCGGCGGAGCTATGAGGAAAACGCAGCTCTCGGTGATGGTGGGTCCATCACGGTGTCTGACAAATTTGATTAGATTATGAGCGCACCTGAGCTCCTTTCTATTTTGTTAAATAAAACTATTTTACTGAAATTTTGAAAAGGATCACAATATATTTGATCATCTATTTTTTTAAAAATTAATTTAGGCTAATCATTAACGTTTCTTTTTTTTCTAATTCAATCTTCTTATCTGTAATAAATTTATATCTACCATTCCTTTTTCACGTCGGATTTAATCGATTTAGATGTAATATTTGATATGGACTAAAATTTAAATACTTAAATTGTATCAAAAATATTGTATTTCTAACGTTTATAATAAAATTCAGTGCAATAAGATTAGAAACATGTAAAATTTATATTCCTAATTACATCAACGGTAATAAAATCTTGGATAGAAACAATACCTTATATACGGAAATTTAATTTGAATTTGGACTAAATCATAAGTTTTTAGAAATTCAGGATGAAAATATAAATTTTAAAAGTTTGGGGTCATTTTGGTATTTCTTGAAAATTTTAATGGTCAAAATTAGAATTTTGTAGAAATCTTGGATGAATATTGTAATTTTTAGAAGCTTAGGGTCATTTTGAAAACCTTAGTAAAGTTAAAAGGTACCATACGTGTGTTGCTCTTTTTATTTGAATTAACGACTTTTATCTAATCTATCGATTGATTAATTCAGATCAAGTTTTATAAAGATCTATTACGAGAGCGATCCTCCCAATCCAATTTATTTTATTCACAATCGACAAAATTCAAACCCCTAAATCTCAACTAAGGAATCAAATATTATATTTGTTTATGTTAGAGGCGGAACTAAGGGGATATGTGAGGGCCATGGCCCCCAAAAATTTTAAAATTTCAGTTTTAAACCTTTAAATAAAAAATAAATTGACCCCCCGTAGAATTTTTAAAAATTCATATTAAGCTTAAAAATTTTTGAATGTTTTTAATTAAGCCCCTCCCATAATTTTCAAAAATTCTCATTAAGTCTCTCGAATTTTTAAAAATTTTAGTCAGGCCCCATTTTTTAAAAAAGGGTAAAGTATAGTAATGGTCACTGAACTTTTCTAAAGCTTTCATTTAGGTCCCCAAACTTTTAAAATTGCAATACAGTCCCCCAACATTTAGTCCGTTTGCAATATGGTCCCCTAACAGTTACGTCGGGGACCATATTGCGAACGGACTAAATGTTGAGGGACCATATTGCAAATGGAATAAATGTTGGGGGATTATATTGCAAGTTTTAAAAGTTGGGGGACCTAAATGAAAGCTTTAGAAAAGTTCAGTGACCATTACTATACTTTACCCTAATTTTAATATTTTATACTATAATGTCAATATAAATTATGGAACTTCATCCACCTTGACAAATGATAAGCTTGGAGTTCCATAAACAAAAAGAGAAGGCTGCTACAATCTTGGCTGCCATTTTTTTAAATGAATATATCTAATATATTAAAAGAAGTTTTGACAAAATCAAAATTCATATATTGAGTTTGAAGGAAGAATTTGGTACTTTTGCGAAAACAAAGTCTTCTCGCACCTAACTGGTCTTATTTTCTTAATCAAACTTTAATTTCAATGACGAATTTCGTGAGATTAAAGTTTTATTAAATTGTTGTTATTATTGAAACATCTTGAAGTTTGAGCAGGATTAACGATTTGAACATGATATAATATGGCTTTGAATTTTCAAGAATCAAGTTGGCTACATTTATACAAATAAGAAAAGGCAAAAGCAAGAGAGTAGGAAGGGAAGAAAAATCAAACGTAATTCAAATGGCTTCCCAAAAATAGGCCTTTATTTTGTTGGCAGTGCTTTTGTTTTTCAATTTCCTCATCTTCTCCACTGCTGATGACGTTTATTACGAATTCATAGTAAGTTTTTCTTTAATAATTTTCTTTCTTTATTTTGTTTTCTTTATCTGATCGATATGGTTATAATTTGCAGTTGCGAGAAGCAGAGTTTACCAAGCTTTGCGCGACAAAAACTATCTTGACCGTCAATTGCAGCTTTCCAGGGCCTGAGATTCGAGTCCGAAGAGACGATATCGTTTATGTCAATGTCCACAATCAAGCAAGATTTTCTGTTTCCATTGACTGGTACAAATATCATTTTTTCCATTTCGATCCTTGAGCTAATATTTATTTGAAATCTTGTTCATGGGTTATTGTTTTTTTTTTTCTGGGAAAATTAATAGGGAGGGCATTGAGGATTCAATTAATGGAGCAAATGAGTTGATTCGGCCTGGTAGAAACTTCACTTACGAGATTGAATTAGACGACGAAATCGGAACTTTATGGTGGCACGCTTGCAGTGCTTGGGCTAAAGCTACCGTCTATGGCGCCTTTGTCATTTTGCCGGCCACCGGTGAACGATATCCTTTTCCTGCACCCACTTCAGATCAAACAATTATACTTGGTAATATATATGCTCTAAAACAACAACTGTTACATCATGTTGTGATTATGCTGTTTATTTTTGTTATGTATAAATATATACACATTTGAAGATTATGAATCTTAACAATTATTTGGTAAACTCCTTTCAGGAGAATGGTTTAGACAAGAGTTGACAGAAGGCAGCGTTCCCGGCCAAGCAGTTGGGTACACAATCAATGGTCATTTTTCATAAGAATATGGATGTAACGGTATGTATCCGACCCTCGCATTCGAATCCGACTAACATAATTTCGTCGTTAAGCTATTCATAATTTTTTTTTATTTGTTGCACAGATACACCATATCAGCTACAAGTGGACTACCAGGGTCTCTACCTCCTCCGTATAATAAATGTTGTCGCCAATGAAACAATGGTGTTCGCCATCGCGCAACACAGCTTCACCGTCGTCGGACGAAACGCGGCATATACCCGACGCTCATTCTTGAGTTCCCTTACATTAGTCCCGGGGCAGACGCTCGACATTTTGCTCAGTGCCAACCAAAACGTTGGTCAATATTATATCACTGCCCAGTCTTCCTCCCGTGGACTTAGTACGTCCGGAATTTTACACTATACCACCAACACTGGTCTTTAGTTTAAGGGTAAAGTATAGTAATGATCACTGAATTTTTCTAAAGCTTTCATTTAGGTCCCAAACTTTTAAAACTTACAATACAGTCCCCCAACATTTAATCCATTTGCAATATGATCCCCAACAGTTACATCGGGGACCATATTGCAAACGGACTAAATGTTGAGGGACCATATTGCAAACGGACTAAATGTTGGGGGACTGTATTGTAAGTTTTAAAAGTTTGGAACCTAAATGAAAGTTTTAGAAAAGTTCAGTGACCATTACTATACTTTACCCTAAAAAAATGTAAAATGAACTCTTCAAAATTTTTGAAAATTTTTATTCAAACCTCTAAAAAATTTAAAGTTTTAAGTTGGCCCCTCAAACTCTATCACCAATTTCCGCTACTAGTTTATGTTTGATTCAGTTTGAAATTTGTCTTATATTTTATTTAAGTTTATTTCTATTTATAAATAATTAATCAAGATATATTTTTATCCATCCATATCAATTTTTATTTTTTTAAATAATATTAAATAATTTCATATATTTTTTTAAACAAATTCATTTTTAACTATTTGTACCTGTTTGACACTGATTTTCGTCCTCAACTCAGATGACACTCACCATGATCCCACGAAAATCTCAACGCCTTTAATACATCGAACCCACTAAACTCATTAATCCCGGAAAATCTGGGATTCAAGTTACTAAACACACATGCATGCAACTATATATTCAGGGATCCGGGGAACGAAAACGGGGAGCAACAGATTCGAAATAAAAACAAAGAAAAAGAAAAAAGAGAAGCTTATCGTTGGGTCCTCAACGGCAGTAGCTCCGGTGATTAGACAAGAGATCCAAGTGGTGAAGAGATTCGAACGGTGAAGAGACCAACATACTACAAAACGGAGCCGATCAAACGGTCGGATGAGAAGATCGGAGAGTGACAAGACCGAACGGTTTTCGTTCGATTCGTGAAGATATAATCGTTTTCTTGACAAAACCAAGGTCGGATCCAAACCCCTAGCGTCGAGACGAACCTTCCCTTGAAGTTTGGTGTTGAACGACCACCGGAGACCGGCGACAAGCAATTATCCCTTCCCGCCAATAAAGTGGCAAAGCTTTCTCTCCTTCTCGTGTTAATCTGGTAAAAGAAAAAGGGTGGGCTCCCTTTTAATTTTTGTTTGGATTTTAAATATGTAGTGCATTTCTTAACGCATGGATCATTTCTACATTAAGCCATTCTAGTTTTGAATGATTTTATTTTGGTCCTATTTTAGGTTAACTTCATGTTATTTGAAACTTGTAATCTTGCAATTAATTTCCTTTTTTTCCTTTTATTTATTTTATTTAATCTAATATATTTATATATATTTTATTATTTTTTCTGTTTTTATTATTATTATTATATATATATATGTAGTAGTAAATATATTTTCATGGGCCATGGCTCAACCTTTTACTTTTTCAACTTTTTTTTTTCAATTTTTTTGACTTTTTTCCCTTTTTGGAATAAAAAATTATTATTATTTTTCCCCTAAATGTTTTTCTTTCCTTTTTATTTTTTTCTTTTTTTTCTTTGAAATTTAACATTTTTACTCTTTTTATTATTTATTTTTTATTTTATTTATTTCCTTAAAAATTTATTTTCTTCATTATTTCTTCATTATTTTTTTCTTTAAACTTGATTTTATATTTAATTGAAAAAAAACTTTTTTTCATATTTATTTATTTTTATTTTTGCAATCTAACATTCTTTTTGACCTTTTTTAGAGGAATTTCAACCAATCAAAGGTAAGTAATTTGAATCGAGTTTTTTTTTAATTTCAATTTTTCGCAATTAAGACAACCGACAAATTAATTGGTACCGAAAGGACAGTACAAGGGTGCTAATCCTTCTTTGACTGTAACCGACTCCCGAACCCGACACATTTATGGTAAAACGCAAATCAGATAAGATGATGTCCGATCAGCCTAAATATTTTTTTAAATGATCAGTGGCGACTCTAACCAATTATTTCAAGTCGA